GGGTCTGGTATGTCCAGGTCCCAAAGGCTCTGGGAAGCTAGGCCTTGAGGAATTTGGAGGAATTGGAGGGTGCTGCTGTTTCAGTTCCGTTGTGCAGGTGGCATCTGCAGCATTGCTTATTACATGCTTCACTTGCCCTGAAGATTTGAGGATGCAGTGTGTCTAAAGTGGCCACCACAGGCTCAGATTCAGAAGGACAGTGAGGCTTTATTTCCTTTTTTTTTTGTTGGTCATGGAGCTTGAACTCGGCCTGGGCACTTTCCCTGTGCTCTTCAGCTCAAGGCTAGTGCTCTACTGCTTGAGCCACAGTGCCACTTCCAGTTTTCTGGTGGTTTATTGGAGATAAGAGTCTCACGGATTTTCCTGCCCAGGCTGGCTTTGAACCGTGATTCAGATCTCAGCCTCCTGAGTAGCTAGGATTACAGGCGTGAGCCACAGGCTCCAGGCTCTTTCCTGTTTTTAAGAGAGAGGGTGTGTGTGTGTGTGTGTGTGTGTGTGTGTGTGTGTGTGTGTGTGTGTGTGTGTGTGTGTGTGTGTGTGTGTGTGTGTGTGTGTGTGTGTGTGTGTGTGTGTGTGTGTGTGTGTGTGTGTGTGTGTGTGTGTGTGTGTGTGTGTGTGTGTTGTTTAGCTTTTTTGCTCAAGGCTGAATACTCTTAACACTTGAGCTATAGTTCCTCTTCTGGCATTTTCTGGTTTATCAGTAATGAGAATCTCTCGGGCTTTTCTGCTCAAGCTGGCTTTGAACTGTGATCTTCAAATCTGAGCCTCTCAAATAGCTACAAAGACAAGTGTGAGCCACCAGTGCCTGGCAGCTTAATTTTTGTTTTTAATAGGACACATTTACATGACACACTATTTAGAAAGATGTGAAAGGTTATGTGATGACACAGACCTACTTGGCATAGTACGCTGTTCAAACTTTGTCCCTTTGGCAAATATTAACTATGGAAGAGATGAACTGATTTTTCTTTCTTTCTGGCATCGGGAACTGAATGCTTGTGAATGGTAGACACATGCGGACTGCATCTGTATGAATTCAAAGCTGGTTGTATCCCAGAAGGACACCTGAGCCTTCCTCAGTACTTTTTTTTTTTTTTTGGGTCCGGTCGTGGGGCCTGAACTCTGGGCCTGGGCGCTGTCCCTCAGCTCTTCAGCTCAAGGCTAGCGCTCTACCACTTGAGCCACAGCACCACTTTCTGGCTTTTTTCTTTTTGCTTATGTGGTGCTGAGGAATCGAACCCAGGGCCTCATGCATGCAAGGCAAGCACTCTACCACTGAGCCACCTCACTACTTAACTTTGTCTGGTCAAATAGCCTACATTGCTATTTTGAGGGTTGACTAGAGCTGCCTATAATGCATTGGGATCTCTAAACAAAAGTGATTATTTCAGCCAGCTCCTGGTGCCTCATGCCTGTAATCCTAAATACTCCAGGTAGCTAAGACCTGAGGATCAAGGTTCAAAGCCAGCCTGGGTAGGAAAGTCCGTGAGATTCTTTTTTTTTTTTTTTTTTTGGTCATGGAGCTTGAACTCTGGGCCTGAGCACTGTCCCTCATCTTTTCAGCTTAAGGCTAGCACTCTACCAGTTGAACCACAACACCACTTCCAGTTTTCTGGTGGTTTATTGGAGATGAAGAGTTTCATAGCCTTTCCTGCCCAGGCTGGCTTTGAACCATGATCCTCAGATCTCAGCCTCCTCAGTAGCTAGGATTATAGGCATGAACCACTGGTGCATGGCTCCGTGAGACTCTTATCTCCAGTTAACCACCAGAAAACCAGAAGTGGTGCTGTGGCTCAAGTGTAGAGCACTATCCTTGAGCTGAAGAGCTGAGGGACAGCACCCAGGCCCAGAGTTTCAGCCCCACGACTGACCAAAAAAAAAAAAAAAAGTGATTATTTTGATGAACAGGATTTGCACCATGGGCAAATTATCTCATCTCCCTTGCCTCAGAAGCAGCAGTATTTTGAGCTCTCACTTTGAGAATAAACAAAGACCTAAATATATGTTGGCCCTCAGAGGTAGTATCTGCCATGTGGATTACAGGAAGCCCTCAGGACTACAGTGAACTTTACCCCGTACACTAAGTGTTATGAGTGAGGCCCTTGTTTTGTTCTTTGTGCTCATTCATTCACGCAGCAAATATTTATAGAAGGCCTGGTCTGTGCCTGTCTCTCCTAGACTCCCTGCATACGATAAGCAAACATAATTTCTGCCATGTGGTTAGGATGACCCATCATTCAGATGGTCATACAAGTGTAGAATTGTGGTTCTGCTCAATTGTTTTATTTGCTTACTTATTTATAAATTTTTTGTGTCAATACTGAGGCATAAATTCAGGGCCTCACATTTTTACTTAGCTTTTTTGATCAAGGGGTTGGTGTTCTCCAGTCAAGCTGCAACTCCACTTCCAGCTTTTTGGTGGTTAATTGGACAGTCTCAGGGACTTTCTTGCCCATGCTGGCTTAGAACCTCTCTCTCTCTCTAGTTCTCATCCTCCTGAGTAGCATGGATTGCAGGTGTGAGCTACTCATGCCTGGCAACCATGTGTCTCTTGTGGATAAAGGTGGCCATGTGAGAGCTTAGGTATGGTCAGAGATGAGAGGACTCGAAGGCCACACTGAGGACTTCTTCCTGTCTTCTCAAAGCAGTGAGAAAGAAACCCTTCATGACTGACAGGGTAGATGAGTGGACCAGGAAGGAGATGATCTAGTTGTCTTTTGGGAATGATAGTTTATGTTGTGGAAATGTATTGGAAGTGAGCCAGCATAGATGTGGACAAGCTCATTAGAAGACTGTTGCCATGGTCTAAGCAAGAGATTTTGGAAACTTGGATCAACGAGTAGAGTTAATAGAAGAGGCGTGATGAAGCTGGCCACCTGTGACTCAGGCCTATATCTCGCTACCCAGGAGGCAGACATCCAGAGGATCCCTGAAGCCAGCATGGGCAGTAAGTCTGTGAGGCCAACTCCAAAATAATCAGCAAAAAGCAAGACTGGAGGTGTTGCTCTAGTGGTAGAGCACCAGTGAAGCAAGTTTGAGGTCCTGAGTTCAAACTTCAGTGTTGTGCTGAGTGCTGGTGACAAGCCAGGTGTGAGGGGATCTCTGGGAGCTTTCTATGAATGGGATTCTTTTCTCTTCCTCCTTCTGCCCTTTGTCCTGGGGTCCTCCCACGGCCATCTGAACTGTCTGAGGGGTGTATGGAGGCTGGAGGCTGGCTCCTGGGACATTCACATTAGTTGCATTTGTCTGGGTATTATCTGCAGATAATTGGCAATTGAGTTAAACAGTAACAGTAATATGCAGCTCACTCAAGCTGCTTGCTTTTTTCTTTTTTTTTTTTTGGGTCCGGTCGTGGGGCCTGAACTCTGGGCTGGGCGCTATCCCTCAGCTCTTCAGCTCAAGGCTAGCACTCTACCACTTGAGCCACAGCGCCACTTCTGGCTTTTTTCTTTTTGCTTATGTGGTGCTGGGAATCGAACCCAGGGCCTCAGGCATGCAAGGCAAGCGCTCTACCACTGAGCCACCTTCCCAGCCCCTTGCTTTTTTCTTTGTCTCCTTGTCTTCCTCCTCATTTTGCAGTACTGGAGATCAAACCCAGGGCGCTGTGAATGCAAGCATAATACTACTAAGTCTTTGGATTTCAGAGTCAGGGTCTTAGTAGCCGAAGCTGGCCTCAAACTCTGGATCTTCCTGCCTCAGCCTTCCAAGTGCTGGGCTTATAGATGTGTGCCACCATACTTGGCATGTTTTTTTTTTTTTTTTGGTTCAGTCGTGGGGCCTGAACTCTGGGCCTGGGCACTGTCCCTCAGCCCTTCAGCTCAAGGCTAGCACTCTACCACTTGAGCCACAGTGCCACTTCTGGCTTTTTTTTTTTCTTCTGCTTATATGGTGCTGAGGAATCGAACCCAGGGCCTCATGCATGCAGGGCAAGCGCTCTACCACTGAGCCAACTTCCTAGCACATTGGCATGTTTTATTCTTGTGTGGATTTGGACATTGCTTCCGAGCTGTCTCTATCACTGTGTCTTGTTGTTGTTGTTGTTGGTCATGGGGCTTGAACTCTGGGCCTGGGCGCCATCCCTCAGCGATTGAGCTCAAGGCAGGAGCTCTACCACTTGAGCCGCAGCGTCACTTTTCAGTTTTCTGGTGGTTTATTGGAGATAAGTCTCACAGACTTTCTTGCCCAGGCTGGCTTTGAACTGCGATCCTCAGATCTCAGCCTTCTGAGTAGCTAGGATTACACCAGTACCCAGCTATCATTTTGTCTTTTCTCTAATTTTTGGGCAGCTTAGTTAAGGGTCCAAGACACTAGTGGAGATGGTGTAGTAGTCCCTGGAAGAAAACATGCTGAAGTCAGGCCAGTCCCCCATAGTGCTGCCTGCCTGCTTGTGGTTTGGTCTGTTCAGTCTGCCAGTCTGTCATTAACTTATATCCATAAAGGATTTAAGGCTAGGATTTTCTGTTCTATTGTGGGGAGGTGTCCTTGGTGGCATACATAAGAACTAGTGTCCTTTATTCCAATAATGCCCAGGGAAAATCCTGAGTGTGGACAATTGGTGCCCCCTTGTGGCTGCTGTTAGTTCTCCACTTTTGCTCTGATGCTCTTCCTAGACAGTTTCTGCAGAGAAGGAGACAGAAAAGAGTTGAGAATGGCTTTCTCCTTAGCCTTCCCTCTGAACTTGGCTGTTTCTGTGGATTTCATGATGGTGCTCAGTCCCTCCTGCTCAGACACTGATCAGTGTCCTTTCTAACAAAATCAAGCTCTGCAATTCCGGGGCTGTGATAGTAAATCTAGAAGTAGTATCTTCGTTTCCTGACAGATTTGTATTATCGGGCTATTTCTCACAGGTAGCCCAGAGTAACACTGGAGTTTTGCAAGGCTAATGAGGAGTAGGTGTTAAAGACATTGGTGTGCATTGCTTGAGAATAGCTTGTCTTTGGTTTCTGATGCCCATTGGGTGGCAGTGTGACCTTATTTTTGTTTCTGTTTTTCTTTTTCAGCCAAGCTCCACCCCAGGGAGTGAAAATGTGGTGCCCCGAGAGCCGCTGGTGAGTGCCGGTGATGGATAGCATGTGAGTCTAAAGCAGCCTTATGGCCACACAGAAGGGTCTCCTCCAACATGGATGTTCGATGGAGACTTCCTGTAAGGGACCTGGGTCCTCTCCTAGGGCACAGAGATTAGCAAGACCTCTTTGTACTACAGCCTGGTCTTTTCTGGATCTGGAAGCATCCACTTTATGTGGTCACTCTTGCTGAGGGTAGTGACTAGTGAGATGTCACTAGGTTTTTTTTTTTTTTTTGGTCCAGTCGTGGGGCCTGAACTCTGGGCCTGGGCGCTGTCCCTCAGCTCTTCAGCTCAAGGCTAGCACTCTACCACTTGAGCCACAGTGCCACTTCCGGCTTTTTTCTTTTTGCTTATGTGGTGCTGAGGAATCGAACCCAAGGCCTCATGCATGCAAGGCAAGCGCTCTACCACTGAGCCACCTTCCCAGCCCCTGGATTTTTCTGTTTATGTGGTGCTGAGGAATTGAACCCAGGGCCTCATGCATGTGAGGCAAGCACTCTATCACTGAGCCATCTTCCCAGCACCATTGTACTGCTCACTTTTCACATAGGGTCTTGCTTCCTCTCCTGGCTTGCACCTGATCCATTATATGCCTTTTTAACACTTCCTGGCTTGTCTGACTTGCTAGGATAACAGGTATACGCTGCCAATCTCAGCCTCTCAAGTCGCTAGGATTATATGCGTAAGCCATGGGTATCTGTTTTAAGTTGTTCCTTTTCTTTGTTCCTTTGTTTTTTTCTTTGTTTCTTTCTTTGTTTCTTTTTTTTCCTCTCTCTGTCTGTCTCTGTCTCTCTCTCTCTCTCTTTCTTTTTCTTTTTTTTCCTGGTACTGGTATTTGAACACAAGGCCTCATGCTTGCTCGGCTGGTGCTCTACTACTTGAGCCATGTTTCTAGCCCAGCTTTTTTACTGGTTGATTGGAGATGGGATCTTAACTTTTCTGCCGGGAGTAGCTTCAAACTAGTCCTCTAGATCTCAACCTCCTGAATAGCTAGGATTACAGATGTGAGCCACTGGTGCCTAGATTTTAATTAATTAGTTTATTTATTTATTTTTGGTCAGTTGCGGGACTTGAACTCTGGGCCTGAGTGCTGCCCTTGAGCTCTTCAGCTCTTCAGCTCAAGGTGAGCACTCTACCACTTGAGCCACAGCACTTAAGTGTGGTTTTTCTGGTGGTTAATTGGAGATAAGAGTCTCACAGACTTTCCTGCCCTGGCTGGCTTTTAATTGTGATCCTCAGACCGCAGCCTCCTGAATAGCTAGGATTACAGGTGAGGATCACCAGCCCAGGCTCCTATGTTATTTTTTATTTTATTTTTTATTGGGTCCGGTCATGGGGCCTGGGTGCTGTCCTTCAGCTCTTCAGCTCAAGGTTAGTGCTCTACCACTTGAGCCACAGCGCCACTTCTAGCTTTTTTCATTTTGCTTATGTGGTGCTGAGGAATCGAACCCAGGGCCTCATGCATGCAAGGCAAGCGCTCTACCACTGAGCCACCTTCCCAGCCCTCCTATGTTATTTTTTGTCTGAAGTAGCTACTCTCTGTTCCTCAGGGTGAGAGCATCTCAGGTGGCCTTTAAGGAACAGGTAAGGGTGGGAATTCTGGTTTTGCCTAGTGAGTAATTAGGCTTGAGATCGGCATTACTGATAGTATCTTAGACTGCTGATAGGGAAGAGGCCTACTGAGTACTGTAGATAATTTTCTTTACAAAGTGCTTTCTTTGGCTGTGGTGGTCTAAGCCAGAATCCTTTGTGCCTGCCACACTGTTGTTCTGTTTGACATTAAACCTGCGTTGCAGGACGGGTTCTGTACATACAGGCTGGATCAGTTTAGGGGAGAGCCAGGATTCCGTGTGAGGGGTACTGGCAGGCACAGGGTGTACCTCCCCGGCTTTGTTTCAGCAGCTCCTGCAGTCTCACTTGTTTGCTTCACCCTTCTCCTAGCAGAGTGGGAGGAGGTGACGTGAGGCCCTTAGCTGGTATGAACAGGCCCCTGGTCTGGTGTGTTCTAAAGCTTTTTGTAGGCAGAGTGTGAGATGGAGCCAATTGAGCTGCAAACAGGCCAAGCATGTACAAGTGTGTGGGGCTGTTTCAGGCCAGTGGTGCTGTCATTGGTGTTACTTGCTGTTATCAGCTGTAGACTCACATCCCAACTCTGCCTCACCACTCCTCCTTTCCCCTTTTTGTGGTGCCTTGGCTCTCATTTAGAGCAAAGTCAGAGGGGGCTTTTCTTTGTCCGTTCCTCACTTGGGAAGTTTGTGCTTGTTCCCTGCTGTGAGTCTCTCAGCCAGCCCTTCGGGCTGAAGTTTGGTTTCACCTGAACTGAACAGCAGAGTCCTCTTAAGTCTTTTCCCTCCTTGGTCTTCTTTTGGATTTTTCTCTGCTGGTCTGTTGATCACTAGAAGAGAAGCCAGTAGGAACCAGGTTGGGGAACTCTTCGGGAGTCCTGACTGTTGATCTGTTCGCTGACATCTGGGTATTGGGGGCCCTACAGGCCCTGTCCTCAGTTAGGGTTCTGCACACAGCTTTTTTCTTGCTGCTACACTGTGTATCTGCTTGTTGGCTGGTTGTATTTTTATTTCTTTCTTTTCTGGGAGGCCCTGAGCAGTCTTCAAACCCTAGTAGTCTGCGATCGTCCAGAGTTCAGACTCATTCTCTCCAGGCCAACTCTACAATTACCTTATATTTAATTAATATTTTTTCTCCTCTTTACATACTTGCTGCATAATTGCTCAGAGGAAAGAAAACACATAGCAGCAATTTATATATATATAAAAAAACAATAATTAAAAAAAAACCCCGAAATAAACTCCCATCTCATTTGGGCTGATCCTGTGAGTTGGGTAATTAGGGCCCTATTAAAAGGTAGACCCTTTCTCCTTTCCCTCCTCTTTTTTTTTTTATTAATTTTTTTATATTAAACTCCCACAGTCTCTCAGTCATGCCCTTATTGCTTTTGGCCAACCATTTGCAGCAGCCTGATTAAATGAGGGCACCAGCCGAGTTCTATGGTCTTGTGCGACAACTTCTTTCTCTTGAGAGTGGCAGGGGGAGGATGTCAGGCCAAGAAGCCTGCTGAGGGCCTGCTCATGAAGCAGGCTGGAGGTGCAGGAGGAGGGCTTGTGGCTGCTATGGTGGAGTCATGACGGGGTGTCAGGCCTTGGGACTGTGGCTTGCGGGCATGGTGCTCAGCTCTGTCTGGGAGAGGGGTCTTCAGGGTACTTCTGTGAGCTGTCTCTTTGAGTTCTACTCAGTTCAGGCCTGAGGATTGGGAAACAGAAAATTGCAGCAGTGAAAGCCTGCTTCTCAAGTAACCCTATATTTTGTTTTTGAAAGAAAAGGCATTTATACATATGAAGCATTTAGCAAGCAGTGTGAGACTGTAGATAATGTTACAAAGTAGCACAGAATTGGGTATAATTTCTTGTGGATTTGCCTAGCTGGGGACCAGAGAGTGAAGAAGGTGGTAGGACAGGACTTAGGGATGGTTGTTGTGACTCTTGAAGCTTGAGGAATAGAGAATCCAGTGTTGGTGAATTATTTTAATTTTAATTTATTGGAAGTGGCGCTGTGGCTCAAGCAGTAGAGTGCTTGCCTTGAGCTGAAGAGCTGAGGGACAGTGCCCAAGCCCAGAGTTCAAGCCCCACGACTGACCAAAAAATTTTTTTAAAAAAAATTTATTATTGTGTGTGTGTGTGTATGTGTGTCTGTGCCTATCTGTGTGTCTGTTTGCTGGTAGTGGGGCTTGAACTCAGGGACTCTCAAAGCTTTTTTTCCTCAGGACTGGTACTTTACTACTTGAGCCGCACCTCCACTTACAGCTTTGTTGCTGGTTAATTGGAGATAAGAATTTCATAGACTTCCTCTGCTCAGGCTGGCACTGAACCTTGATCCTCAGATTTCAGCCTCCTGATAGGATTACAGATGAGTCACTAGCTTACACAATTCTTAATGGAAGCTTCCTGTTGTCTACACTTTAGACTAAACAGATGTATAATAACCTTTTTCTCTGTTCTAGTATGAGCAGTAATTTTTCTTCTTAGTAAAAGAGTGAGGGATAGGCCTTACCTTGGGGGAGGAGGCCCTGGGTTGAATGAAAATAGAAGAAACTTGGTTGGGTGGGTCAGGGTAGTACTGTACAGGTGATCTTGCCACCTTGATATGTTAGGTATTTGCACTGTTCTTTTGCCTTCTTTGCTAGGGTAGGAAGAAGGCCTGATTGTTATTCCTGTCCTCTCTGGATGGTAAAAACCCTGTGTGATCTACTGGTGAGAAGTATAGTTTTGTAGTCTCTAAATGGCACAAGGTGTTTGTAGACATATCCTGGCTTGAGTCTAGTCGAGTAGTGACCTTGCATATTGCCTTCTGTGGCCCTTCAGCGCCCCCAGCCCTGCTGTCCCCACATAAAACCAGCCCAGCCACCTGACTGTCTTAAGTGGGTAGGTTAGTTATGCTATAACAACCTGCCTGGTCTCCGTAGTGCTGTGGAATGAGAAACAGACTGGCTTGAGAAATTTGTTTAATTTGGCTTGAAATTCTCCAATGTTATAACAAAACTCTTGGCTAAAGTTAAAATTATGAATTACCCTTTCTCATTTATACTCTCTTCAGGAACTTTGTTTCCCTCCGGAAGTAGTTTTGACAACATTCCAGAGGGCTGACCTTCAGCTTCTCCCAGATCTGTAGAAAACCTTGTGTGACCTCCCCATAGAGCTGGCTTTCTGGTAGTGCATATGTGCCTATCCTAGAGCATATATAGAGCCTTTATCTGGTTCCTTGTGCTGCCCTGGCAAGATTTAGTCCCCACCTGGTATGTAGGTCTTCAAGAATGAGGGCAACTGGGTATGGTGGCACATACTTGTAATTCTAGCACTTAGGAAGCTAAGGAAAGAGGATTTGGGGCTAGAAAATAGCCTGGGCTGCAGAGTGAGACCCTGTCTCAACAACAGAAAGGAGCTGGGTGCCAGTGGCTCATGCCTGTAATCC